TTCCGTAATTTTGAAACCAGCCAAATACAGAATACATCGCATTAAGTGAAGATTCTGTTGAATTGTTTCTTTTTAATTATAAAAAATATAAATTTTAGTTGAAATACAACAAAATAATATACCCAACTATTATAGTAACTGTTATTGAATAGTTAGCAAGATATTGTTTATTTTGTTAGAAATAAAAAGAAGTTTATGATTAAAAAATAACTTAATGTTTTAGTTTAATAACCAGAGGAAAATAATCCAAAAAATGTAGTAAAAGATATTTCATTGACAAGAAATTAAACACAGATTGAACTTTAAAAAAATCAAAATAGAAACGAACCAAGAAATATGAGCTGTATGTTATAAGTTTTGAGCAATGAATAAAATTTATACATGTTTTCTCTCGTGTTTTCTAGATGCATTAATTATTTTTTTTTCTATTAGACGCGGTGTTTACCTTGTTTTATCTATTAAAAATTTCTAAACATAGTAAGAACAGAACTTTATAAGAGATAAATTTCAAAAATATTTAGCATCTTATTTGTTTGTTAAAAAAACTACCAGCGATCTTACGATAATTGAATTATTTATTTCAAGAAATAATCCTATTTATCAACTTTTTTTAATTAAACATAGAAAGTATACTCCTATATTTTATTCAATTTATGAACATTATTAATTTTACATGCCTAATATATAATATAATTACAAGAGACCAAGGTTTAAATTATAATAATACAATTAGAACTATTTATTAAACCAATATTATATATAAAAAAAATAAAAAAAAAAATAATAAATAATGTAACGTAAATGTAATGCATTATACAGGTGAAAATATGTTGCATAATATATTATTATGATAGCCATTTGCAGTAATATGAAACATGTAATTTACAAAAATGTAGACCATTTTTGTGCTAAATTTTAATTTTTAAAAATTTGTTGTATACTTTCAAACATTTTTATTACTTAAACCGTATATTATCATAAATTAAAAATTTGTTTAATAAATATTTAAAAATTACATGCTATAAAGAATTTTTTTTTTTTTTTTGTATTATGTTCATTATTTATAATTTTTTTTTTATTAGATTCTGAGAGGAGATGAATGTATTGAATTTACTGTGACGTATTTGTTTGTGTTTATCAATATTACTTAATATTTATAACAGGTGAAAAAGTTCGATTTTTAATTTCGAGGGTGATTTTAGATATAAAATTAGATATATTTTGTACTTCAGAGAGGTAAAAATTAAAAATTACCATTATTTTCCAAAATAACCGAGAAAAAACAATCAAAAAATTAGAGGAAAACGAGAACTTTACGCAAATTCAGTTTTTACCAAATCGATTGTTATCTTGGTGTAACTAGATGAATATAAATAACCGTAGATACTTAAAATTTCCAATAAATGTTTATATGATTAATTTCTACCCATAATAATTTTTTTGAAATATTTTTAGGTACTCTTTTGGGTTATTAATAGACATTTTCCATTTCTTTTTTTAAATAAATTTTGGTAAAAACTTATTTTTAAATACACGAAAATTTCATTTATGATCCTATAGAAGTTGCTCTAACAGATATGCAAAAATATTTTAAATATAAACATAGACATAATTTATTTTTATAAACATTTTAAGTTAAAATGTTGACAACTTTTTTCAAAATCACAAGAATTTGTAAATTTTTTTTCAGTAAAAAATGTATTAAATGTGCAATTTTTATAGTTAAGACTTACAAATATAATACAAAGTTCCTTATAAGTAGATTAAACTGAAACCAAAAAATCTAAAAATTATATAAGCTTAATTTGTTTATTTGAAATTCAAATATGGACGATATTACATATTTAAACTATAAATAATGATATACATTATTTTCTTATAGTTTAAATCATTATTCATGGAGACATTAAACTTTTATGTATATTATTTTATTTTATACATACAATGAATTCAAATATAATGTTCTCAGTAAAAATTATTTAAACCTACTACATTACTAATATTAAAATAAATTACTTTACCTAATAACAATCTAATAATTAATATTTAAAAATATATTCATTTAAAAAAAAACAATCAACCTATCCAATATCCATGATACAATTTAAAATTATGTTTACTTTGAATTTAAATTTATTATGAGAGAGATTATATTAATAATTAATAGTTAATTCATAAAATTATCACTAAAAAGTATTAATATTTTTAGGTACCCTAATATGAATGACATAAGTTCAGACTATATTTTTATTTCAAATACATAATTTTTTATTAATAGTTTTGTTAATAATATATCAAAAAAAAATCTTTCTTTATAATTTTTCAAAAAGTGTCTTCAAATAAAAATTCTATGTATTAGGGTTGATAAACTAAAAATTGTATAACTATTGATAAGTAACATTGTTTTAAAACATTCTGTATAATGTCCAAACCTATCCTTTATTTTTCTAAGTTTGGCTTGCCATAATAATAGCATGTAAGAAAAATATATATCTCAAGTTATGAGAGTGAGGTATAGCTATAATATGATATATACAAACAAAATTAGCAGTTACAAGTTTTAAATGTCTGTTCTCATTGTGTATAAATTACATTGCCACCTAAAATTTGACATCAGAACAATTCAAATTAAACTTATTGAATTTTGATGGAAATAAACTGATATTCGTCTGAACTTAAATTGTTATACCACATAAAAATATTTCAAGATTTGTATAAATAATGGTTTAAATAAGTAAATAATTTATAGAATAATTAAAATTTAAAATAAAAAATCATTTTATTTTTTGTTTATAGTATACTAGTAAATTAATAGCATTCAATATTTATACAATTAGGTAATAGGTAATTCACTCATTTTTATTTTTTTAATCAAATTTTATTTTATTGTTTTAAACTGAATTAATTCATAATATTAGCTAGTAATTATCTTAATACATTTTATGTATTAAAAAAGTATGAAAAAAATAATCAACATAACTATCATAGGTAATTCATTTGAAATTCTACACTTGACTATATTTGTTAAATGATTAATTACATACTAGAAGTAATGAATTTAACTTAAATTCACTTTTTATTATTATTATTGTTATAATAAATACTAAATAATTTGGTAAAAAAATAAGAAATAGCATAATTTTGTATAATATATTCTATGATTATATATTTTAGAATCCATACTATTTGTACAGAATATTTCTATAGAACTGGCTTTTAAAATTATTTGATGTAATCAGAAAAAAATATATAATAGTAATTTTAATTAATATAATTAGCAAGTTGCCTACAACTACATTAAAGGTATCAGGACATTAATATAATTTAAAGATAAAAATAAAATATAATAAGTTATATTAGAACTATTAAATTACTTACTACTAAAAATTAGTTTTTACAGCAATATTATGTGTAATTTATAAAACAAAATAATTCCCTCAAGTAGGTATAATAATATTATTAATCAACAAAAATACTGTCAAATTTTAGTAGTGTACTTCAATATTTTTGTCTGATTTAAAAATTTAAAATGAATAAAAAAATAATCACAAGCATAGTAACATTATAATCAGAAATTAAAATTATTGATACTCTATAAAATTAGTTCAAGATCCTTTATTCTGGTGATAAAATATCCATTTTACAATATTCTATATTTTTTATCATAACTTTAAACTTAACTTTATTCTCTGCTTTATATTACACTAAAAATCAATAAAATATAATGTTTATAGTCTATTGGTTTTCAACATTTTTAGGCAGCCTCATAAATGAAAACATGTAATCCTACGATCAAAATATATAATACCTAATCTTAATGCAACAAGTTTTAAACATTAGAATTATATTTTAGAAGAATGTTCCTCAAATAGTGTGTTACTAAGTCCAAATGTGTCACAAAGTATACTATGACACAAAGTTGAAAATGTACAAACATTTTTGACAAAATTTACAAAAATTAATAGATATTTTATATACTTTCTACGATGATTAAAAATTTAAAAATAAGTTATTTGTTATCAAAATGTATTATTATTTTTTAAATTATATTTTTTCTTTGTTATTTTTAATTTTACATTACCAATTAAAATTAAATATTACTCATTTTTCTTATTTTTTATTGTGTGTAACAAAATATGAAATATTTTAATAATGTATGTCCATAAAGATTGAGAAAACTATTTTTTACATACATAACAAATCTGTATTCACTAAAACCAATGTTGTATTACTAATTTAAATATTTGAGTAAATTAAAGTGATATAAACAGTTTAAAATTGTAATATTTTACATAATTAAAAGTTTTGAGTCCACTTAGATACAAACATTTTTATAAATTGAAAAAATTTTACAAGATGCTAAAAAATAATATGAAATCAGAATTATTTGGTTGTACCTTACAAAGACATAGAGTAACGAAATTTGAGATACGATGGTAGAAATTGAGACTTATTTCGTCTGCCATTGCTATGCCTTACTGTATTTTGTCAAATTGATTCATCAATCATATTTATTTATGAATTGGTTAAACTCATGTGCACATAATCTAAACATTGAAATTTAAAGGAACACTCCAACATCCTTTGTAAATATTTGAAGGTATTTAATGTAGAGAAAGGTGGTTGTATTATAATTAATATATTATTCTGATAGTAGTTGTGTTTATATACCAGTCAAGATAATAATAAGATTTTATAAAAACAATTTTTTTCTTTTTTTCAAGATTTTCAAAAACATCACCAATATACTAAATCTATACCTAATATCTCCTTGAAACATGTCTAAGTGTCAAACCGATGGAGAATCACTAGTTTATACTTATTCAAATCACTAGACAGCTCTAGATCAGGGTGGTAAAACCACTTTAATATAATCAAAAAATTGTTATTGTAATAGAAAATAATTTAAGTACAAATTATAAATATTTAACTGGTAATCGCCTAATATATACTTTGACTATTTAAACTAGCGTTATCATATAATAAATAGTTATGTTTACCTCGATCAAATTGTTTGCCATTTGGATCTATGTCTTTTACATTAAATATATCTTCAAAAACCATTCCTTGAGCCATTTTGCCAGTAAGTTAGTTTTGAACTTTTGTCTTTAAATACTACTACTACCTCTAGTAAAACCAGTTAACGAAAAAAAATTAAAAATTGAACGTGTTTTATACCTATAGCCGCGCGACAAGTAACAACTAAAAACCGCTTAAAATACATGAAGTTGTTATCAAAAGTGTTAATTCAGATGATAAAAAGTGTAAATAAATATTTTCGAATAACCTCAAAAAATGAACATTTTATTTTAGTGTTATCCGTGTATGATTGAAAAAATATGGTGTTATCGTAGTTTTCGTGGCTGTCGGTGCCCCGGTACTGGTGTAGTGGTGTACAGCAGTAATAGTAATAGTAAATTATTATCCATATTCAATATTCATTATTCATTAATAATATGAATTTGACGTGTGGTAGACAGTACTAGACACTAGATGTAGACCGTAGTGCGTTACTCAAATTAGTCGAACTCGCTAATTGGTTAGTTGGTTGTTGGTAACGAAGATTTCAGTATTAATTGTATGTTTTTCAATGTTTGGAATTAAATCAACTGTTCTAGTCGAACTTACAACCCCCTATTCTGAACTACTCAGTCACTATAACTAAATTATAATGGCTATGCTTCCACCTCGAAAAACGAAGACCGTCTCAACTGAAAAAAGTTGTAAACATTCAATGACGCCCCTTCAAACCCTTTTACAAATGGGGTTTCCCCAAAATCGAACGTAAGATGAACTGTTTAATACTGTTAAACATAAAAATCATATGTTGTATTTTATATTAATAGAGAAAAAGCATTAGCAGCCACTGGTAATCGAGGAGTTCAGTTAGCTGCCGATTGGCTCTTGGCTCATGTCAATGATACTTCTTTAGATTCTAGCACTAGCAGAGAGTATATCATTTATGCCTGTCCAACTGGATCACTTATGTATGAACTAAGAGAATTTTGGAATAAATCAGCTACTAAGTGTGGACGTAATGGAGCTCATAATTTTTTGCCACATATTACTCTAGTATCATTTTTTTTGGTACCTATTTATGAATTATTTTCTATACTCTTAGATATAAAAATTTTAAATCTAAATTATAAACTAAGATCAATTTTATAAATATTGTTTACAGGTCCCTGATGAATATGCTAATACATTGGTATCTATACTAAAAAATGTTTTAGATGAAGTTATTAAAGAAATGACCGTCAATGACTTTCATTTAGAAACTTACACTTCATCAAATTTTATGGGTTTTTTTTTATCAGATCAAGGATCAAACTTCTTAAAAAAAATTGCAGTACTATATGCAGAAAGAATCACAGATCTTGGTAAATTTAAGCTTTATATATACTTTTTATAAAAATATATTTATTATTTATAATTTTAATGTGTTTAAAAAAAAAGTAAAAGAACTAATTAACATCAATAATTAGTTATAGAGAAAATGATAATATCTGACTTTTTTATATCAATGTTTATGATAATATTTGTTAATATGTATATTATATTTAATGGGACTGAATGGAACAAGTTAAATATTATCACCATTCTGAAATTTATTTCTAGTAGATCTAAAATTGACTATTAATAACAGTCAATGGTTAAAATTAAAAATAAACAATGCTTTAATTAAATTATATTGAATATCAGTGTAACCCTTCAATATTAATGTTACCTCTTATTATAGTTCAAATTTAGATAATTCATAATTTAATTTGTAATTACTTTTTCTAGTTGGAGTTCAAGTAGATCCTCATTTAAAATCTTTACATTTAACTTTGGCATATCAATTTGATGTAACCCAAAAAGAAACTTTAAAGTCGTTAATTGAATCCACAATAAATCCGTCAACTCCATGTTTATGGGAACTAAAGTTATATTCAAGAGAACCAATAGCTGCTAACAAACAGGTTAGTGTTTACATTATATTTTATTATTAGTTTTGCTTTAATAGTATACTATATATAACATAAAAAATATTTTAGGTATATAAAGTTGTGTATGCTCATGTCCCACAAGCTGCTGATGAACTAGAACTAAGAATAGGTGATTATATATACGTGTCTAAAGAAAGCATAGATAATTCGGTTGATGGTTGGGCTGAAGGGATGTCATGGTTAACTGGTAATTAATATACTAATAATTTTAAGTTTTAAAATAATTTCTGAATTTCTGAAAATTTTTTCAGGATGTTATGGTTACTTTCCGCTATGCTACACTGAACGTGCTGCTGAATCTGATACATGGACTCTACATTGGTAAAATGTATTATTATAATAAAACTTAGTAATTACTAATATTTTAACTGTATTGCTTTTGCAGTTCATTACCCTTAGATGGTAGTTATCATGAATCTAATGAAGTTAATGATACAAATATGACTGAAGAAAAACTAGTTGAAAAATATGGTGTTAGTTTTGTTCCAGCTGATTACACACCTCATTCAGAATCTCCAATAGGTCCTAAATCTCAAAAAATATATATTTGTCGGCATGGAGAAAGAGTAGATTTCACTTTTGGAACATGGATACCTTATAGTTTTGATTCTGATGGGAAATATGTCAGAAAAGATTTAAACATGCCACCAAATATACCACAACGACGTGATTTTCCAAACTCTTACCAAACCGATACACCTCTTACTTGTGTTGGTGAATATCAAGCCAAATTAACTGGATGGGGTATGAAAGCTGCTCACTCTACTAAATCCATTCAACATGTTTTTTGTTCACCTTCATTACGCTGTATTCAAACTTGCCATAATATCTTAGTTGGTTAGTACTATACATAAATTATGATTAATATATTTACAGTTATATGTTTATTAGTTTAAATTTTAATTTGTTCATATAGGCCTTGATATTGATAAACAAATACCTATTTGTATTGAACCCGGTATATTTGAGTGGCTTGGTTGGTATAATCAGTCTGGACTACCTGATTGGATGAGTATTGAAGAGTTAATAACTGCTGGTTTTAACATTGATTCCAAATATGAAGCTTTAGTATCACTACCATTTCTAATTGAAAATATGGCAGAAACAGTTGAACAGTACTATATTAGATGTGATGAAGTAATACAGAATTTAATCAAATTAACTGAACCTAAAGGTAATAATAATCAAAATCGCACTCTGCTACTATTTAGTATCTTTTGAGTGTAAATTGTCATTGAGTAGATCACTAATGGATATGTTAAGTTTAAATTTAATGATAAATATCATTGCATACAAATGATAATTCTGAGTGGTAGTGTCAGCCTTTATTTCTAAGAATATATTTTCATTTATTTATCTTTCCATTAGTAACACAGTAGATTGAATTAATTTTTCCAAAAACAAATTGAATGCAATTTTATATCATAAATATCTGTTATTAGCTTATGAGCCAATATTAATATACCATAATATAATGGTGTGAATAGATTTATAAATACTCTTTTATACATAGTATGAAATATAAATAGCTAAAAATATTATAAGTTCATGTTTCATTATTTTAAAACATTTCGGGTCTCTATAATTAATATTTTTTTAAATTAAATTAAAATCATTTTATTGTTAGAGCAATATTATTTTTTGTTTCAATAAAGAATTTTGTAAATATGAAAACATTGAAGTCTTTAAAAAAAAATTGTAATTGCTTATGTTTTTTGGTATTTTTAAAATGTATGTGAAATCTTGTTTTACATTTTTAATCTTTTTAACCAAGAACTATTATTTTATTAACATTTAATATTTAAAAAAAGTTTTAAAAATTTCAAATTTCAAAAAAGAGCTAACAGATCTTGAAAATAATATTATTTATAGGAAATGTTATAATAAATATGTATTTGTTAAAGAGTGTCTTTCTCTATTTATCTATAAATTACAATATATATAAACATTTGATTTTGTAAAAACTTTGTTAATTTAATATTCTAAAATTTTCTTGAATTTTTTGAAATTTTAAAAAATTTCTTTCTTTTGATTTCTGAGTATAAGCTAAATCTATAACTAAATTTTATACCAAACCTGTTCAATGTTTAGAATTGAATTTATTGTTTTTAAAGATGATATTGAATAAAAAAGATCATTGTTAAATTAATACATTAATCATACCACTCAGAAATTACTATATTATTATAATATTATTAAACATTTAAAAAAAAAAATTGTTTTTTTTAGGTGGTGATATCTTACTGGTAGGTCATGCTTGTTCATTGGATTCTTTATCAAGATCATTACTTCATAAATCTCCGCGTACTAAACAAAATTTTGTAAAAATGGTTAAAGATATCCCTTATTGTGGCTTAGTAACTTTAATGACTGATGGAATCAATGATTGGACATTTGTGGATCCACCAGTTCCACCATTAACTAATTCTATTAATAAAAGATTTAATTGGAAAGTTTTAACCACAGACATTGATGTCTCCCCGAATCAATAATATTTTAAATCTAGCAATAACATGACTAAAATTATCTTAGATAAAACTAAATAAATGTATTTCAAATATGCACTTATCCTAACACAAATATGTTTATTTTTAATTATACAGGCTGGGTATTAAAAAATTAAAAATTAATTCTTAGCTAAATTACATAAAAATTTACTTTATTTTCTATTAAAAGCAACTTCTAACTTAATAAATTTAATTTTTTTTAATAATAATTTTAGTCAGTGTATTATTTCTGAATTTTAATATTGATCAAAATAAACTGTATAAATATGACTTTCTTACCTTCTGTTATGTATTTTGTCGATTACTCTTATATATTATGTATTATTTTATAAAAGCCCTTATTATTCTTTTGCCTAGTTATAAATTCAGTAAATATATTTTTTTATACAAAATATTTATAATCTACACCAAAGCATAATAATTAAATTTTATAAAAATAGTTATATATTTTTTTCTACTTATCAACTTTTTATATGTTAAAGAAAAATAACTCAACTTAAGTTTTAGGAAATAAAATATTTATCCAGCCTTTGTTGTTGATAGTATGGTTGTTTAAAAAATTTAATTAGTATTATAAATTTGATATTTCTTGATGTTCTATATAATAATTAACTATATATATTAGGTTACAGGATAGACAAAAATTAAATAATTTCTATGTAATTAATAACCATTTGCTTTAGCATAAAAAATACATCATATGCTTAAAACAAAAATATAGAATGAAGTATTAACATTGTATTTTTAATATTCATTTTCAACATCAAAAAATATTCATTAATCAGTATTAAAAATATTTGTTTAACTTTTGATTTTTAAGACTAACTTGTTTGTTATAATTTATTGTGTATGTTTTTCTTAATCATCAATTTTACACTATTATTTATTGAACTCTTTCTCAATATTGAAAATGGATAGTATTCCAAAGAACCAGGAAACTGGTTGTATAGTAACTTTTATTTATACTAAACTTGTTAAAATTTATTTATAGGATGATTCTTTTATCAAACAACATACATTATTTCAAAATCATTTATTTTTCAAAATGTTTACTTTTTTAAATGACAATATTCTGTTTGAAAGTTATATTCTGAAAAAAAATATGTTTTTGAATATACATTATAATCTAAATTTGGGCAAGTAGTTTTTAAATTATGTCTACTTAAAGTTTAGGTTAGCGTAGCAGAGAGATATAAGAATTTCCTCAAAATGATGATCAATAATTACTATGCTCGCCTAAACTTTTAATATTTATAACTCATAAACTACTCTTCCAAATTTAGATTTTAATTAACATAATTTTTTTATCTGTCACTCACTTCCTAAAACTTATTTTCAAATTTAAAATATTTATAATTTATTCGATATAAATATGTAAAAACATTAGCTTATAAAATTTTGTTTTAAAAGCAAATTAATAATTTAAATAATAATATGTCATTATTTCATAACAATGTATTAAAATTAAAGTAATTAGGAATTATAAATTAATTTAATTATCGCAATAATTTTTTTATGTACATGACCACTAAAATATGTAATTAATGTTCCTAGGTCAAAGTGTTAATATTATATTCTATTTTTTCCCTAGACCTTATATTTATTTATTTTTATTATTATTATTATTACTATTATTATATATATATATATTTATATTGTATATTGTGTCTTAGTCTTAATATTTTATATATGTTAATATTTTCTTGTTCAACACATGCACTCAACTTTAAAACTATGCTCAGTAGATTATGAATTAGTATCCTCATAAGTTAGGATCAAAAAGGAAACAAATCAGTGTGGATAATTAAATAGCAATTAAAAATGTACTATCTGTGAATATTGAAATTAAATGTTATATTTTTACAAACATAATAAAGTATTTATACTCTGTACAATATACACATTACATTTATGAAAATCGATTAAATATTACAATGTATCTGTTATAGTATATTTTAATTAGTAATAAATAATAAAAAGAAACACTGGAAGATTCTGTTATTATCCCTTAACTAAACGCATTGGTGTACTCTGTACACCAATATTTTTAATGTTTGTAGCAGCATAAACAAGCTCTGTATTAAATTATTTTTTAATCAGTGAACGAAATAAGTTAAAAATTGGATAACATCAATACAATGTTCTTCATGCCAAATGCTTACATATAAGAAGCATGTTAAAATCTGATGTCAAATATGAAAGATGTATAATAAGTCAGGATAGTGAATAAGATTTTATTTAAGTAAGTAACGATAAATTAAAAATAAAATATTTTTTCTTTAATCAATAAATTATAAAATACCTATTTTTTTTATAGAAATAACATTTTTTTCTTTTATTTATTGTTATAATAATATTCAAAACAATATTAAGTAGTATCTACTTTGTTTTTTTATAAGTAAATTAAGTCAAATATATAAACAATACGATATTGATTTGTGCCTAAATCAAATTGGTGTTTAAAATATAGGTACCGCACGTGTTATTATTGAAAAAAAAAATGGACGTGTAGTTAAGGGTTAAGAAAGTATCGTATACATTGTCATTAAATATATTTTTATATAGATCACTGTAATAAATATATTAAATAATAATTATAAAAATCAATAATAACAATAATTAATAAATCATTGTAAGTGGAAAACGATTCTGAGTAAAAATCCTAAACTATGACAGCCTTTATTCTCGACATATTTTATATTACAATTAGTAATTTATTTGTATTTTAGCAATAATTTAGTAAGTTAAACTAATTTTAGCCAAAAACGAGCTGCATGCATACCTACCTATCACATTTTATTATTTTATATAATATTAGTTATTGTTAATAGCTATTAAAATTTAACTTAAAGTCAGTTTCGGTGTATCGTTGAATAATATGAATAGAATTCTAGTGTAAATAGCTAAGATTAGTATAAATATGTAAATGTTTCGAAAATGCCATTACAGTACTCGGATTTTATAGCATTTGCTAATTATTATAGTATACAGATAAAAATAGCAGAGTGAGCTACAAATTTGTTTGATACACCAAGGACTCCAATTATAAAATTGTATACTGCAATTTTTTGCAGGTTTAATTTTTTTTTTGATTTTTAGTGCTATTTTCAAGTCTTGGTACTATTTTTTGCTAATTTTCATAATATAACGTTTTATTTTGTACTTTCATAAATCTATACTTTAATTTATATAAAGTATATTATGTAATAGGTAGGTAAAAAAAATTAAAAAAAGTTAGTCAGTTATCTTAATTATACATTATCTTATTTAAATCCACAAGAAAAATACCCACATATTCGTTTATATTAAAATGTATTTTTAAGTAGTCCGGTGTATTGGCCTATCAAACAGTTAACAATTTTGATTCTTTATTGATTGTATGGCTGGTATTTATATATTTTTGTCAAGAATGTTCTGTGATTTGTCGTACATTCGTACGTATTTCATCATCAATCAGATCTTTACGGTTCACATCGTTTCGTTTGAAATTTCGTTCATTACTCGATAGTGTACGAATTGTTTCTTTGTGTTGTTATTTAACGTAAAATTCCGAAAATAAAATATAACATTATTCAATATTTATGTTTTATGTCTGAGTTAGTTTGACGATAACATTTTTTCGATCGACGCGAGTATTTTTTTTTTTGTAAATAGTGCGAGCGTTAAGTTAATAGTGATAAAAAATTAACGTTTTACGTTATGCAAACATAAAAATGGATAAACATGTCTGCAAAACCAAACAGCAGCTACTTACGAATGTTCATTAAAAATCAGATTTTAATATTAATCTTTGCAAGACTCTATTATTTCTACTAACATACTATTATACAAGCAGTTGTCCAAAGAAAAGGTTCGACAATTTTAATAAGCGCATACCTACTAAAAATGCAATTCTAGACAATTCAACATTGAAAAACCTCTACGTTGATAATATCTACAATGAAATTATCGAAAAAATTAGGACTCAAGTAGCCAGTAGGTATCTATTAATCAGATCTAGGTGAGTGTCGATAAAATAACAGACATCGAAAGTCGCTTTATTGCCGATGTTATATCGGTAGGTACTCTGAATATTGAAACTTCTGGATCCATATTCACCATTTATCCATATTTATCCATTTTACCTCACTCGGAACAGTCGTAACAATTAGTAAAATTAACTTTTCTACGGTTAATAAATTTTTCGACAAATCTATGACCAAATTATGACCAAACAGAATACGACACGACCATGGTATACCTATTATTATTTTTATTAAACGCAATGCCATACTGAAAAAGCTGGTAAATCATTAAAAGTGTTTTATTCAAAAATGATACAATAGTAACATGCGCAGCACATTTACATAGAATTGCGGAAAAGATTCGTGATCACTTTAACACTGTATATAGTAATCGAAATTAGTAAAATATTATTTTATACAGCATCTACTATAAAAAAAATAATAAATAAAACCCCAATATTTAATAAAGAATTCCCAGGTACCTATATATTTACCACCAGATCTTGAAATTACAATATGAGAATCGTGGATTAACTCAGCTGTTTATTATTCCAAAAATTTAAACACTTCACCGTATTATAACAAAGATCGATAACGATGGATAAACTTGGGAGTGTAAACAAAACTAAAATCTACATTGTTAAGCCCGGTCTTGAGAGCAATTTGTGTATAAAATCAAACTTTACAGTTACCTATCGTAGAAGTAATAAATAAACTACACACAAAAGCCCTTTCTTTGATAACTGTGTTAAAAATAATTAAAGTCATTGAAGAATCATTTAAATCATTACAGGACTACGTAGATACAATTGTAAAAATAAAATTTAAAACTGTAATTGAAAATAACGAATTAAATAGAGATCTTAAAAAATTGCAGTTTAGTGATGATATAGTATTTTTAAGTATTCACCTATCACATTGATAAATGTTGAATATTTTTTCTTGATGTGTAAGATATTTTTGATTGACAACCGTAAAAATTTCATATTTGAAAATTTGGCAAAATATTTATTCATACAGTATAATTGAGGTAAAATAATTTAGAATATTATACAAATTAAATTAATTTTATTCTTGTTTTCGGATAATTTT